AATATATGCTTAGCTGTACAAAGAACCTATCTGGTAGAATTCTTTGTTCCCTGTATCTGTGATGACTCTGTTAGTCATAAACAGACAAAGACTAAGTAAGAGAAAGAAGGAAGAATTCAGCCCATACCTCTAACCCTTCAAAAGAGCATAGCTTATTGGTAGTTTAGTAGTCTTGCTTCAAAGACCAAGGGCGAGATGACTTTCTGAGATGCTGTGGTGGTGGTTTCAGGATGAAAAAAACATGCCTGGCATGCTGACCAGAGACAGCAGCAGCTGTGTGGCTCATCTGTTTCCCAACACATTTCCTAACTATGAAAACTGCTTGAAGGAGTATCGTCCATGAATTCCAAGTATGGAAGGAATCTGACCACTCTTTTTCATTTTAAAACCACATTTCTTTTGTCCTATACTTTCAAGGCCATTTTACTTTGCATTTTTCATTGATTTGTGGCCAGAAACTGATTTCAAAAAGGAGAACTTAAAATTTGTCATTAGTCAAGGTTTGGAATCAATTATGCTTCAAGAGCATTTTCTAGAACTAAGATCTCATTCTCAGAAGACACCCACTTAGAACAATGACTTGATCATGGGGGAATGGGGAATAACTCAAGAATGTAGGGTGACTGAGGCAGCATCTATAGAAGACAGAGCACACACACAGGAGACTTGTATGTAGCAAGGGTCATGAACGGTCCACAATGCTTGATCGTTTTTCTTTTGTTTGTTTAATATGTCTTCTCTCTACTTTACCTTTCCTACCGCCACCACCCTGCTCTAGGCCTGGACATCTCATTTCCAAGTGTGCCAACAACATCCAAACTGATCTTTCTGCTTCCAGTCTCTCCGCACATTAATCCTTCTTAAACTCAAGTATTCGCTTCTATCCCAACTAATAGCAAATCAGTTCCTATAGCTTTCATTATTTTACTTTTGTATTTTTCATATTATTACCTTGCATATTGCAAGTTACAAATGGCAACATTAATAAGTATAATATCTATTGAACAAATAGCTCAAATTATAAAACTTTCTTAGCAAGAAAAGTAGAAGACTTTCGAGCATAAAGCTCAGGCAGAGAAAATGGCCCATTTTGGTGATAATTAATACAGAAGCTGTGGGCCTCTCCATCACACACATCTTAAAGTCATCACCAGAAACAAGCCACTGCCTGAGATAAGTGTACCCACCGACTGTGTGAATTTTTATTTCAGATCTACTTTACTACTGTTCTCTTTAGAATTCTTCCCTGTCCTTTTGTTTCACAGACTTGTAGCATTTATTTATGCCATGTCTTCCCTGATTTAGAAGAGATCATTGTTTCAGCTTCAAACAAGTCCTGATTGGTAGGTTGCATGGGGGTGCTTTTATAAACAACAGGCAGCATGATAATTTGTTGATTCCTCGTAATTACCATGTCAGTAGGAACCTGCAAAAAAACCGATGCTTGCTATTTTCAATAGACCATTGAGCTTACTGTATAAAAACTATTTGTTCTTGTAAATTTTGTAATGCTACTTGGGACATAAGTCAGTAATCATCAGATGGACTCATCTTAAGGGATGTTTTGAAAGAGGAATCCTAACAGGAGAAGAATAGTGACAAGATTCTCTGTAATTCAGTGGAACTGGGAACGGTGGGAAAGGGGAAGGAGGAGGGGCGGTTAGGAAGAAATTGGTAAAGGGCCACAAAAAACGGTTTACATTGTGTAATGATAAAACAAAAAGAATGAAAAATAAAATAATTTTAAAATGTTTTTAAAAAAAGATTATAATTTGCACTTGGTAATTCTCAGAGTACTACACGCCGCCGCGCTTCCCAAGCGGCGCACTATCCAGTGCGCCACCGGGCCGGCCCCAATTTTAAAATGTTTTTAAAAAAAGATTATAATTTGCACTTGGTAATTCTCAGAGTACTACATTTTCCTCCTGTGAATGGACTTTTTAAGAAAGTTAATCTGCTTGATCTCATCAGTCTAATCTGAAATTTTGATTCTTTGAAAAGAACTTCATAGTTTTAAATTGTGGATATAATATTCCCCAAATATTTTAAAAAATACACTAACTATATATGCCCATACTTGAATTAATTATGACTTCTATCACCCAAAAAAATTATCATGCTGTGATATTTTTTTTTCTTAGCTGGAATTGACAGATAGATATTAAGTTTCTTTGTCAAAATACACTAACTATATATGCCCATACTTGAATTAATTATGACTTCTATCACCCAAAAAAATCATCATGCTGTGATATTTTTTTTTCTTAGCTGGAATTGACAGATAGATATTAAGTTTCTTTGTCCACCTAGCAGGTGCTTTGAGGATAATTGAGCATGAGACTACCGGAAAAGAACATAAAAAAGCTGGTGGTATGGAAAGTTCTTATGAAAGATGGAAAATGTTAATTTAAGAGTTCAGGAGTTTAAGCCAAAAGAGCTAGTCAAGTTATATACCAAAAAAAAACCTCTCCAGGACTCCCCCAACTGTACTTCTCTTTGAATAGCTTTTCTGCTGCCAGTTATATAAAATTGATATAATCCTCCCATTCCAGCAACTCATGAACTAAGTGCAGGATACGATAGAAACTGCAAATGAGTTTAAGAAAACAGGCTGAATGTTATTAAAATCTTTTTTAAATGTTTTGTGACATCTGTTTTCCATTTTGCTATGCTGTTTAATTAACTTCAGTCTTACAGAATTGCAGAAATCTTATTTGCTCAAAATAGTATCTTGAAGGAAGTGACCTTTATTTAATAGAAAATAATGTTAAGTGTAATATGGGCTTGATTAAGTTCATCCCAAGTTTTACATTTTTCCCACTGGCTTTATGATCTATTCCTATGTACAGCTCATCTTCGTACGACCAAATCAAACTCTGGCTGGTGGATAGCTCTGATCCAATTGGTGCTGCTGTCGTTTTTGCTGACACCAAAAATGGAAGAAATTATAAAAAGAATAGTTACAGATCAAAAAACTTCTTTTTGTCTTCATCTCTATAATATGAGATCACTGACTCCCGAGTTGGTGAGGATATCCAACTTCTGTCCTTACTTATATGCGTTTTGTGTGTGTGTGATCTTTTCAATAAGAATGATTGTCTTAGAGAGAGAGAGAGAGAGAGAAGGGGGAAAAAAGAGCAATTTAGCCTGCAACACCTAGAGCGCGAGTGTCTCTTCTGATGAGGTTCAGGGGTCCTAGAAAGCTCATATTGGACACATCTTGGAGGCAAGCAGAAACACTGTGGAGAGGTGGAAGAGTGAAGGGAACTGGACTTCACTGCCAGCTGACTTTATTTTACCATTTACCAGAGCACACAAAAACTCAGTGCCCCGAGACCAGGACACAAAGGGAAATGGCTGCATTTCAGCACGTCCTGGCTTCACCAGAGAAAGCCTACTGGGTTTCTGTCTTTTCAAAGGGACAAAAGCTGGCAGAGCAGCTGTCTGTGCTCTTACTGCCCAGCAGCTGAACGTGCTTCGCTATTCTAAGTGGTTTCTGAGGAAGGTGTATGGGTTGTGCTAGACCGGATTTTTCTGCCCAGAAGAATTCATGTGTTTTAATATGGAGATCACGGCTTCTCTACTCCAGCCTGGCAAGGGTTGCTCATTACTCCCCCCCCCCCCCCCCCCCCCCCCCCCCCCCCCCCCCCCCCCCCCCCCCCCCCCCCCCCCCCCCCCCCCCCCCCCCCCCCCCCCCCCCCCC